ACCCCACTGTCATTGAGTTGATTCTGACTCATAGCAACCCCTTAGGACAGAGTAGAAGTGCCTCATAGGGTTTCCAAGGCTGCAAATCCTTATAGAAGCAGACTGCCACATCTTTCTCCTGCAGGGCACCTGGTGGGTTTGAAATGCCAGCATTTTGGATAGCAGCCAAATGCTTTAATCATGATGCCACTATTGTGGTTTCACTGTGTCATAGTCAATTTACAATAAAATCTTAATTAACTAAATCATTTGGTTGTTTAGGTTTTCTATGGCTCCTTGATTTGAGCTTTTGAGTACTGAGACTAAAATGTCTAGTTGCTGACACTTGCAAGTTTGCTTTGGCAGACATGCCTTTAGAATAATTTTTGCTTGGAGCTCTAATTTAACAGAGTTCAGTTCTACCTGAACACAAATTTAGTGAGTATCTATTATTGAGCCAATCTCTGTTCTAGGACTGTGATAAACTGAACAGAGAACCTCATTGCTCTTACAGAGTTTGTGGTCTAATAGGGGAGATGGGAATTAAAATAATAGTGACACAAATTACTATATATAAATGCAAGGGTATACAAATTGCAATAAATGAAATGAAAGAAGAGAGGAGGATACTATGAGAAAAAATAACCAGGGAGACATATCTAGACTGAGGAGTCAGGGGAAATTTTTCTGAAGACTTGACATTTAGCCAAAACCTGAAAGTTGAGTAGAAGTTACCCAGGCAAAAAATTAGGAGAAAAGCAGTCCTGGGAGAGGAAACTTCTATGGGTGAAGACACAGAGACAGGAATGGATAGAAAGTCTGCAAGGCAGGAGCTCAGAGAGGGAGAAAAGCTGACAGAAGAGATTGGAAAGGCAGAGAGGGATTCAGAGGTACAGAGCTCTTATGTTTCCCTGGGGTTCTGTCCTCTGGAGTAAGCAGAAATGTAACAAACAAACAAACAAAAAAACCCAAATTCACTGCCATCAAGTCAATTCTGACTCATAATGACCCCATTGAGTTTCTGAGGCAGTAAATATTTATGGAAGTAGATTGCCCCACCTTCCTTCTGTGGAATGGCTGCTGAGTTTGAACTGACAACCTTCTGCTTAGCAGTCAAATGCCTTAGGCACCGTGCCACCAGAGCTCCTAAAAAACAAGCCAAACTCACTGCTATAGAGTCGATTCCGACTCACAGAGATCCCTCCTTGGGTTTCCGAGGCACTATCTCTACAGAAGTAGATTGCTCAATCTTTTCCTAGGGAAGTTATATATCCATCAGTGATTCAGATTTAATCTTTGAAAAATGATGATTAAATAATGATGGGGCTATTTTATGTTTTATAACTGGATTGTAAACTACACACACATCTCTCTTTTTCATTTCCATGTTGCACCTAGTTAAGGGCTTAGCACTGAGTAGGTCCTCAAATAAGAATTCAGTGCATACATGAATGAATGTTATCTTAAAGCTAACTGAAGATAACTCCATACATTTCATCATAGTATCTAAAGAAGTACTGAAAGTTAAAATTTGAGGAATTCTATGAAAGGGTAAAGTCCTATTGCCAGAACCAAAAGAACCAAGAATTACAGTGGAAGACGTCTTTCCAAGATGAAGCTTTCAGTGTGGATTGTTGGCTATTTGCACTGAATTCTATGCCTTTTTAAAATATATGTATTCATGTAGCTATAATGGCTAGAGGTTGGGCAAAATTTATGATAAGTAACCAATTTTGTTCATGTCTTTTTAGGGAAGAAATTCTTATATTGTGAGCCACATAAGAGAATTAAGGAAGTGCTGGAAGAAGAACTTTATATTAAGAGAGATGAATGTCACATTAAAAATTCACCTGCAGGTAATCTCAGTGACAAATGAACTGTATTTGTGTAATGAATATGAAATTGTTTATTTAATGACAGTTTAATAATATTATGTATTAAAATCTGTGATTACCAAAAGGAGAACTGGTTTTGGGGAAATTCTTGAACCATTTTTAAATTATTTCACCTGTGTCCAAATAAAAGGAGCTCTGGTGGGGTAGAGAATAAGGCACTTGACAGCTAAGGAGAAGGTCAGCAGTTCAAACCCACCAGCTGCTCTGTGGAAGGTAGACTGGGCTAATCTACTTCTGTAAAGATTTACAGCCTTGGAAACCCAACAGGGGGTCACTATTAGTAGGAAATGACTCAATGGCAGTGAGTTTGATTTTAGTTATATGCAAATAAACCATTATATTTAGGGAAAAAAAATGAGCTAGACATCAGTGTCTACATTTCTGCCCTACTTTTTGGTGGAATTATTTCATCTAATGATAAGTAAATTTTTTCCCAAGCACCTGAAAAGCATAATAACATCTTTAGTCCTTTCAGGATAGGGATGACCAAGAATAGAGGTTCTTACTCTAATTTATTAGAATTATTTGGAAGCTTGTTAAGATCCATACCCTTGGGCTTCATCCCTGAGTCTAAGGCCCAAGAATTTGCATTTCCAGCAGTTATCAGGTAATAAAGATGCTGCTGCTGGTCCAGAGACCACAGTTTACGAATCACTGACCTCGAAGTATCTAAGTCATTTCAATAGGTTAAATCATCCAAGGATTTCATCCCACATACAGGTTGTGTATGACTTTTATGGTCTGGGATATTAATACCTCTCACTGATGGTCTGTGTGAGAGAAGATATGCTCTAGAAGCTCCAGGATCCCTCACAAATATTATTTTGAAACCACTTGTTGTTGGTAGTTGCCATTGAAGAGGCTCCAACTCAATGGCGACCCTATGTATAATGGAACAAAACATTGCCAGGTCGTGCACCATCCTTACAATTGTAGCTATGTTGAGCCCACTGTTGCAGCTATTATGGCAGCCTATCTCATGCAGGTTTCCCCTGACTCTGCTTTACCAAACATCATGTCCTTCTCCACATTTTCATGGTTCTTTCTCAGCCATTACTAGATGTGCATTTTAAGGTCCTCAAATTGCCAGGTTTTATTACAAGCCTCTTGTGTGCTAGCAATTTATGGATAAACTAGAAGAATTGTAAGACACAATTTCTACTTAGGCAACCTGACATTTTTCTGGGGAGGAGAGTTGAACATTGTGCAGATAAGGCCTAAATTCATGAAGGATTCCTAAGAGCAGAAGTTGTAAGCCCAGAAATGTACCATTTCAGATTCTATAATGTATATGCTCACTTTACACTTCAAAACCAATAACAGAAGTGTCTTCTGGTAGCATAGTGCCTAAGGCACTTGACTACTAACCAGAAGGCTGGCGGTTCAAACCCACCAGCCACTCCTCGGAAGGAAGGTTGGGCAGTCCTACTTCTGTAGTGATACTGCCTCGGAAACCCAAGGAGGGGTCGCTATGAGTCGGGGCCGACTCGATGGCAAATAACAACAACAACAACAAGTATTGCCTACTCTTAAAAAAGAAAAGAACAGCAGGACTGCATGGGAGGGAAGGACACAAGGAAGGGGTAACTATGGGGAGGAAGTGGGAAGAGAGCTGTTGCATTGTGGGGAATTGCAGTCAATGTTGTGAGACAAAATGTGTGTGAATTGCTGCATGGAAAATGAATTTGCTCTGTAAATCTTCACCCAGATTGGAGGGAACACTGAAAAAAAAAAAAAAAACCAACATTGCCTCTTGTCACTTTTGTGTATTTCACTGTACATAAATTATATTTCAATAAAATTTATCTACAAGAAAAAAAACCTTCACCCAAATCACAATAAATTTTTTTTAAAAAAAAAAAAAAAAGGAAAGAAGAGAAAATGGCCAATTTTGTTCACAGTGTCTTAAAGGAGTGTTTTAAAAGTCTAGTTTGAATTCTATGAATGGATGCAGAATGACATACTCAATACTGTAGCCAAACTCAGCCTACGTGTACTGTTTCTCTGCTGGTTAAAAAAGTCTACCCAGTGCTATTGTATTTGTACTTTGTCTTTATTGCTTATAAAGACCTTATCAAAGCTAATTTACACACTAGGTGTGTTTTGCATTATTCTTATTGGGTACATTTGATTATGAGATATTCTAACTGAATAGGAAATATCATTTAGTTTCTAAAAATAAATTTTTATATGAATCTATTCAAATATCCTTCATGTAAAATGGAGGAAAGGAGCCCAGGTGGTGCAGTGGTTAAGTGCTCAGCTGCAAACCAAAAAGTCGGCAGTTTGAAACTTCTAGTTGCTCCGTGGGAGAAAGATATGGCAGTCTGCTTCTGTAAAGATTACAGCCTTGGAAATCCTTTGGAGCAATGCTACTCTGTTCTATAGGGTTGCTATGAGTCAAATCCTCAGCAGGGTTTTTTTTTTTTTTCTTCTTCTTTTAATTGGTGAATGTCCATGCTGTAATTTTTGTATGTGCATTTTGTGTGTGCATCCACCAGAGGTCGCACAGAGGTGCTATTTTAGCCTAGAAAAATCTTTCAAAGCTGAGAACAGATTGTGTAAGGTTAGAGTTTAGAAGTCTCTGCTTATAGGAAACAGAAATTTGCTCTTTCTTTTTCTTCTTCTTTCCCCTCCTCTCTTCTCCTTCTTCTTGTGAGCATAAGCTCTATCTCCATGGTCAGAGCCAAGAACTGAAGAACTGATACTTGGAGGGGATGCCACTCTTCCAGCCTAATCTAAGATTGGTGGCACCGTAGGTCAGCTACTGGACCTCCTAGTTCAGGATTTTCAACAATGTGCAGTGGCATACTCTGTAAATATATGGTAAAACTTTGGTTTCCCTTTAAGGAAAATACACCTTGTCTCATGCACCTAGCATTCCACATACATACTTTAGGGGCTTGTGTGGCTACTACAGGAGCTCTTCCAAGATATTAAGAATAAGCACACTTGACCCATTGTCTCTACCTCTTCACTTATTGTTTGTTCTTTTACTCATTAGAATTAGGTTTTTGTTCCTACCATTCCCCTGAAACTATTCTTTTCCAGATTACAAATGACCCTCATCTTGAAGGTCAAAACCAGTGATCACATCATCATATTCAATCTGTCTGTAGCCTCTGACGTAATTGTTTACTCTTTTCCTTTGATCACTTCTCTGTCTCCTTTGCTCCTAGCCTCTAAAAGTTGGAGACCTCAGTGACAACCCCTTTTGTCTCTCTACACTCACTCCCCAAATGATCCCATTTAACACTTTCTCCCTCAGTGATCACATCTAGCTCATTATACTAATGACTATAAATTTTATATCTCAAGCCTGTAACTTTCCATAAAGCCTATTTGACCATTTGGATGTTGCAGTGTGAAGGATTGCTTTTATGTGGCTTTTCGAGCCATGATCTGGTAACACCTACCAAAAGATTGAGTGGGACTATGCAAATAAGCTGATTGTGGCTCACTAAGGGGACCAGACAACTTGCTAATAATGTAAATACAGTGCATGGCACCCTTGTGGGGGTGGGGCCATGCAAATAGGTATATAGAACCCTAACAAAGGGATTGGTCAGTTTTGCCATCTCACTAGGCTTAAACTGAGCCATGCTATAGGCAGAAAGGGGGATCTGACTACTAACAAGAAGAAGAGATGAGAGCAGAGCACATTCTTTGAACCTGGTGTCCCTGTGCTGGGAACCTCCTAGACCCAGGAGACAGAGAGATGTAACACTGGGGACAGTGAGAGATGGTGAGAAGCAGTGGCAGAGAAATGGTGGCAGTAGGGGCAGCAGAACCAGGGTACTTGCTGGAGACGGCATGGTGGGCTTCCCAACCCATGGAGCAAGAGAACAGGATGCCTTTGGGCAGGAATCTTGCTGGCAAAGTGGGATGCCCCTAGGTATTTATTGATGGAGCTAAAGAGCTCTGGAACACTTGCATGAGCAGAGCAAAGGCTGGGGCAAGAGGCTCAGGTTCAGAGATAGGCTTGTCTACAGACATGGCTGAAAAGAAGCTATCCTGACTGAAGAATTATGTACTGAGTCAATACGTTCCTGATCCTGAAATGTAACCTGTTACTTCCCTAATAAGCCCTGTGATTGTAAGTATGCTCTGTGAGTTCTGAGTGGTCATTGCAATGAATTATTGAACCCAGCAGAGAAGTAGAGAGTGCCATGAGAGGGACAGCTGGTGTCAGAATGGGTAAAAAAGGTTGGAGAGAGGAGATATGTCTGAACTCTGCCTCATAGGAATCAGCCTTGGGCTGTTGCTCTTTATTCTCCGTTCCCCTTGTGGAGTTACAGGAGGTCAGATATTAGGGTCTTAGCACTGTCTTCTAAAGTTGTTCCATGAGCTCTCCTTGGATTGTGTCATCTGCTCCCATAGTTTCCACAATCAGCTCACTCAGATGACTTTGAAATCTGTGCCTCAAGGCTGAACCTCTTCTCCTGAATGTCCCATAAACACTCAGGATCAACACGTCCAAAATGAAACTTATTCTTCTCCCTATTTGCTCTTTCCTCTGCATCACCTATCCGAAGTTGCAATATTGAAGGATTCTATGGGGGAAAATATTGAATGATGCAGGAAGCATCAAAACAAGGTGGAAGGAATACACAGAGTCACTGTACCAAAAAGAATTGGTCAACATTCAACCATTTCAAGAGGTAGCATGTGATCAAGAAACAGTGGTATTAAAGGAAGAAGTCTAAGCTACACTGAAGGAATTGGTGAAAAACAAGGCTCCAGGAATGATGGAATACCCACTGAGATGTTCAAATGGTTACAGCGCTGGATGCACCCACTAGTTTATGCCACAAAATCTGGAAGAGAGCTACCTGGCCAACTGACTGGAAGAAATCTGTATTTGTGCCTTTCCAAAGAAAGATGATTCAGCAGAATGCAGAAATTATCAAAAATATCATTAATACCACATACAAGTAAATTTTTGTTGAAGATAATACAAA